GTGTGTGTGTGCGTGTGTGTGGTGCGCGTCTGTCCGGGTATTTCAATTCGGCAGCCGAGCAAGCTTCGGCACTGAAATTTTGTCAGAGAGTCCCCCAGCCAAGTGCCACCCCAAGACTGCGATAGCACGTTAGTCCGCTTACAAGCACGTGAGAGTTTGAGGGAAAAACTGTCAATTTGTGAACCAGAAAAGCTGGAAAACTGAAATTTTTAAGGAATGTTCTCTGCCTACATGCAACTTAAAAATTCACCAGGGACGCGTGGTTCTCACGTACGAGCACTCGAAAGTTTTGGCGAGGAAATTACTCTCTGAACAGGTAGTTCACTGTACGTTTTTGCCTATATGCAAATTGCAAAAACGCATATTGCAACGACCTCATGTGTATGTGTGTGTGTTCGTCTGGCCGGGTACTTCAACTCGGCAATCAAGTAATTTCCAGCGCCAAGATTTTGCTAAGGGGTTCTCGACCAAGTGCCAGCCCAGAATCGCGGTAGCAACCCTCATGCAAGTCTAGACCCCGCGTACGAGAGGAGGTGAAAGTTTTGGCAGGAAAACTGATAACTCGGGAACAAGAAAAGACAGGCCGAAATTATGAAATTATATTCCCCGTCCACAGCTGGCTCAAAGATTTCAAATTCAGCCCCCAAGTGTACGTGTCCCCGCGTACAGCCCCATAAAGGTTCCTGGCGCGAAAATCGCTAGCTTGGGACCCAGGAAAGCCGGGAGGCTGAAATTTTCAAGGAATGTTCCCAGCATAAGTATAACATAAACCTATCCAACTCAGCCCCCGGCCGTACGTGGTCCTCACGTACGGCCGGAGGCTGAATTTGATAGGCTTATGTTATACTTATGCTTTCGGTGGGAAAATGGCTAACTCGAAAACTAGCAAAGCTGAGAGGCTGAAATTTTCAGGGAATGTTCCCAGCCCATGTACGATTTAAATTTATCACATTCAGCCTCCAGGCATACACGGTTCTCACGTACGCCCCCGCGATACTTTCCGGCGCGAAAATGGCTAACTTGTGAACGAGTAAAGCTGGGAGGCTGAAATTTTCAAGGATTGTTCGCAGCATAAGTATAACATAAATTTATTAAATTCAGCTCCCAATCTTACGCGGTCCTTACGTACGGCCCCGTGGAATTTTTTGATGGGGAAATGACTAACTCGGAAACTAGCAGAGCTGGGGGCTGAAATTTTGAA